TGATGCTGTCCCATTGAGATAGAGATTGCCTGGTTTTAGTGAAAGGACTCTTTGAGCCTAAAATGGGGAACAAGAGAAAAATTGAGCCCTTTTGACTTTTGTTTATACTTGTGACAGCAATTAACAGCTCTTGTGCATGCTTTGCTTGTAGGGAGACCATTGCTATTTGAGAAACGGTCTGTGCAACAGACTTGGCCTGACTCTTCCTATTCCAGGTACACTGGGATGAGGAGGGTGGTGGCAACAGTCCCAATAAAGCTTCTGGTGCAGTGTTGCTGTCGGGGGTAATTCTTTCTCTAGTGATACATCCGAACCTGCAAAAAGCCAGGTGTTAACTTACTTCTACCAGCCAAACCTGACTTCATTATGTTAGCTTGTTTCATCCTGACCAAAGGACATCTCATATTGTAAGCTCTTTCTTTTGCCTTTACCAGTAAAGACATGTCTGGTCCGTAGTCTGGAAGAATAAATAGTGGAATGGCACTTGCTTTCCTTGACAGCTTTGCTTACTTTCTGATTAAATAAGTAGGGTTGAAATGCTGAAGCGGCATTACCCATTAATTTGGCATGGAAAGGCTCTCAATCTACTTGAAGGCCACACTGGTTTACAATATAAATGCTAAAGTAAATGCATGTAGCATGTTTAAGGTTGTTTTTTTTTAATTTGTATTATTTTAATACACAGCTTTAGAAAAGAGGTTGATGAATTTTTTAATAAAAAGAGTAAGAAGAGTCTCACCACCTCACTCTGCATAAATGAAGGTGTCTTTTCTGTTGTTCGCTATGAATTATAGTCATTACATACTTTTACCCTTATGACCTTTTTTTACTAATAAGTGCTTTTTAGCCATAATAAGTATCTAATATATAAAACATCTAATTTAGATAATACAGATCTTCTGTTAGCAAATCCAGGTTCAGGAGACACAGATTCACAACTAAAAATCAAAAGACTAAGATATAATTAAAGGAGCTTCTGTATACAAAATTACCTGCTTAATTTAATACAGATAAAGTGCATTAATACATGTTGACAGGACAGTCTCTTCTGGCCAACTGAGCTGAGGAGTAAGTAGTTGGTGAATGAGCATGGTCACATTATGAAGGAGCGTGCTGTGTTCACTCATTTTGGCTGTTTTGTGGTTTGACTGTTTTACAATAGGAGTAGGGTGGCTGGGAATATGTTTTGGGTGGGTTAAGAGCTATAGCCCAAAACATTCTGTTCTTTTCTCCTTTTTCCAGCTTTTTTCTTTCCTTAGTCTTGAAATTAAGTTGTAGTGTTGTTCTCAGGATGTATCAAGGTAGCCTGAATGTGATTTGGATCCTGATAAAATGTTTATATAATACTGTTGTATATCAGGAATAATTCTGTTAAGGATAAACAGAAGCTGATGTCAGACAGTGACAATACCTCAAGAAGTCTCTGATATTTACTTATTAGAGTTCTTCAAGATTCACTGGAGGCTAGTGAGTACAACATAGGCATTTTACTATCAATATATGCTACAATATTGATTCTTTGAGAAAATTATGTATAATTCTGGAATTTTAGTAGCACCTTTAGTAAAGCATCTTCACTTGTTTGTTTCATTCACCACTAATTTATTGGAAAGAGATATCTTTATTCTAGGCTAATTTATATATAGCATAATCTGATTGAGTCAAGTGAGATGTAAGAAGTTTTGAGATGCTCAGGTACGATTGTTGTTGTGTATATTGTGTGAGAGTCTTCATAGGTTAGGGAGAAAAAATAGTCCTGTTTCTCAGAGAAGGTTTAGGGAAGTCCTCATACAACAGGATTTATGGCTTGTCAATCTATAAATGAGTGATAATGGTACCTCCTAAGCTACCAGAGAGGTTTTAAGGTTTAATAATCTAGATGAGATTTGGAAGATGTAAAGAGTTGCCTAGTGCTGCTGGTATTAATTGTTCTAGAGTAGTTTTAGAGCAAAGACATCGTTGTCACCTTTATGCCACGTAGTGCTTCAGTGAAGGCTATGTAGACTCTTGACTTTTTTTGAGATGGCCTCAAAACTTCATTGTACACAAAACACTTGAAAAACTTTGCATAAAAAATTCCCAATACCCCCCCAAAGTAAAAAAAAAAGAAGAAAAAAATCCAGTCACACTTCATAACTTCTAAGTCATCTTCTGTCTTTTGCAGAGAATCTGATATACAGCAGAAAATGCATGTAGTCTTTTTTTAATTACTATTTCTGTTTCCAGGCCTGATAAAACCAGCAGTTTCTTCATTAGATTTAATGTTTAATAAATCCATACCTGAAAATCTGAATGATGAGATCTGTGTGGGAGCATCATCTAGACATTGCCATCCATTCTTTTAGGAGATCTGACCCTTACTAGGTGTTAGGTGTATTGAAGGAAGAACTAATAGTTTTGCAATGACAGTAATGGGGGAGCATGGTAAAAAGGCACTGAAGACAGTTTCCATGTGAGTGCAGCATGGAGTAGCTGATGATTTTGTGTTTGCATTCCATGACGAACATGCCGTGGGCTACCATCCACGGTAAAAGAGGGAAGGGCTGCCCTGAACAGGCAGTTTAATTTCCAGTGAGCCCTTACTGGGAATTGCTGGAGTGTTGTTTAAGTTCGTGTCCTTGTTTTTTTGGTAACTTGTTCTTGTATCCATGCCTTAAGGGCTGATGATTCAGAATTCTCGGATCACGGAGCATGTGAGGGGAGCTGTCGTGGGTGGGGCAAATCTGTATTTACCTTTTTCAGTCACTTGTAAAGTATTGAATAGCAAGTATAAGTTTGCCTTAAAGGCGAGCAAACGCGAGCAGTTTTCAAGTATGAAGAAGCTTGAATTCTTATCTGTTGGTAGAGTTTTCATTCCTTTTCTTGCATCTTGATGCTAGAAATCTCTTCCCTTCTTTTCCTGCAGGGAACAGGAAAATGTCTTAGAAGTGGAACAGCGATCAACAGGCGTAACTTTGGTGTTCTTGTGTAGGAAATACGTTGTTTCACTTTAGGTGCCCTTTCTTAGAGCAACTGCATCAGTGTGGTATCTTTCCTGTTCATCTACCTGTTGTTTTTTTTCTGCTTCTTGAGTTTGAGAGAGGGGTAGGGGTCTCAGGGGTAGGTAAGGAGAATTGGGGTCAAAGGAAAGGGATGGATAAGAGACCTTGGTTTTACTGGGGTGGGGATACAGGGCACATTAAGAAACCTGGTTTTGTTCATTCCACTCTTTAGATACACCTTTTTACTCCAATGAGTGGCAGTGAGGATTTTTTCCCATCTGTTTAAATTACCAGATTTCCTTTGAGTTTGCATGTGGCATGAGACTTTGTTTTCAGTGGTTTTATTGAACTTTTTTTCTTTGAGAGCCCTGGAAAGTTTTCAATGCTTGCTGGTAACAGCAATGCTGAGATTCTGGCTAAGACATGTCTACTGTTCCTCAGTTTCCCTTTCTAGTTAATACAGTCTGCAGGGTCTTGCCATTTCCCCATTGCTGGTCTGGGCACATAAGGAGCAGAGTCCTGTGTTTTGAGTTACTAGCCCAGGAGCTAACACTGCTGTCTGTATCCCAGGCTTAATGTACCTCAGTCCAGCATCTCTAAAATGAACTGATCTTAGAGAAAAAAAGAATTATGACAATTTGAGTTTTTTACATCTAAGGGACTTCTGTGCTGCTGCTGTGAGTAATAGGTATGTTGAAGGCAAGCAGAACAATGATGCCATGGACCTAGCTTTCAGGAGTGAGTTGAATTAGTTTTATTTCAGCAGATTTTGAAATGCTGAGGAGAGAGACGAGGGATGTCACAACAGTGTAAAGTATAACTTTGTAAGTGCTTCTTGTTTGAAAAAGTTCAACTATCTAAAGCTCGAAGGGGCTAGTGGGTTTTCAGGTGGCTAATCTACCAGACTGTACATGATCATGTCTTCGGATCTAGGGTAAGACATGTTAAATTTAAGATGAAACTCCAACATATCTGCTATCATTAGCTGAAAACTATATATTCATACATTTTATCCAGTTTTAATTAAGTTGGCTTGAAATAACACCTATATCCTAGCGTAGCTGCTGTTAGGTACGAGAAGAAATGTGAGGAGAAACTGAGGGGCTGGAGTAAGATGCAATGTCAACAGCCCTCTCATTTTATTCTTGCAGTATGCATCTTAAAGACTGGAAAGTGTTCCTTTTTAGCAAGGTTTGTTTCTCTAATGTTTGGAGGTGTATTCAGCTTCTTTCTAGTGAGAATAAAATTTCTGGTCTCAAAGGCCAAATAGCCCATACGGGACACATTGAGAGAACAATAGAATTGGCAAGTTGGGGCAATGATGGCACATCCGTAAGGTAGTAAAATAAAAAGTTTAAGAAGGGCATACAAAATTGCACAGTAAACTGGAAGCTTAATTGGTAGCCGATCAATTGTTTCTGCATATTATTTACTGGTTTGAAACAATGGACTTCCAGCATCCTGGAGGTTGATCGCTTCCCTGCTGGTCCCTGCAGCTGAGTTCTTGTGTGATCTTGGGTATATTATACAATCTTTTCATGTCTCCTCTGTGGAGTTTAAAGAAAAAAAAACTCTCATAGGACTCTTGTTGGAAGAAAATGTTAATAAATAAATAAATAAAGGTGCTCAGCTACTCTGGAGGTACCTATGTGTAACAGTATTGCATTAACCATGATTTCTAGCATTGATCTGTAACCTGAGCCAGTGTGGGTTTAAAATGGTGACTGCAAGCCAGTACATTCACCTTGTAATTTTTGAACTCAATCAATGAGATTGTTTAACTCTCCATTGATCAAAAATTGATTGTTTTGGGAGCCACCATCTTTTTCAGACACTTTCCAATTACTTCAATTCTAAAAGGATATCCAGTTCATCCATAGGCTATTAATGAAGTTTATGACCCATGTTATTTAAGAAGTCTATGTAGATAGCCAGAAGAGCTTTAAAATGAGTAAAAAGGAGGTAAAGGAGGTGCTGCAATATTAACTTTTTTCCTTTTTTTCTTCTTGTTTAGCTATTGGCGAATATGAAGAACTTAGAGCAGAAAATAAGAAAACGAAAGAAGAGGTTTGTATCTATTGATTATTTATTTAATACTGTGCTAAATATCTGAATACCTTATTGGTTATGGCAGGTTGTTGTCTGCTTTTGTGAGCTCAGCTGATTACTTACAAGTAATAAGTACGTATCAAGGAGCAGTGAATGCAACTCCCAACAGCTATTCCAGCTGCCCCACTCCAGAAAAGTTGCTATAAATATATATATATTTAAATGATTGCTGCTATAGCCAGTTTGCGTATGATTACAATGTAAGCATAGACCAGCTCAAGTGTTTAGATATTCTTAGGAAAATTTGTTTCTCTTGGATCTAAGCCTTGTTTTATTACAAATTGATTTGCATGGTGAGACTTACTGAAAAGAAAATAGAACAACTTGCATCACCCAGCCTTTCTGAAAATTCGGAATGTAGGAATATGATTTCTGAAGGTATTTGAAGTGCGTGTCCCCCACCCTGAAAAAACCTAATCCAGTTTTTAACAGGAGAGCAAGATGTCTTATCTCAATTCGCAGAATGGTACTGCGGCATAAAATGGATTTGCAGCATATCACGCATCCTTCTGTGAAATTTGTGTGCCTGTACAACTTGAAAAGAAGCTTTGAATGTATAGGCTGAACTTCATACATTACTGCAGGCTTAATTTTTTAATGCTCAGAGATACTGGAGAAGAAAATAATGACCACTTTCTAGATTGTTCATTGTAATTATGATGAACTGTCTTTCCAGTAGTAAAATTAAACACATTCGGTAAGGTATCTCTTCCCACCCAGGACTCTTGTTCATTCAACACACCTGCTTTCTGTGAGGAAGCCAACAGAAACAGAGAACTCTGAGAGAGATTTGATGGTACTGTTGTGTTGCATATATCCAGGCTGATGTGCAAAAGGTTTTTAGCAGATATTTGCCAAAAGAAACTGTGGGCAGAAAAAGCCTCTTATCAGTTCTAGATAGCGAGGAAGGCAGAGGAGTCTGTGCTGCACTGTGTTGTAAACAGAGTATTATCCTTTTTCCAGTATTAGTGAGCTGAAGATGAAGAAACATGTTAGTTTTCAAATCCCTGTTAGCTGCCAAGGCATGTAGGTTTAATTTAGCTTTTTGTGAAGTCATTTCTGAATGGTCACTTTTAGTCCAGTTGTTACAAACATTACAATTCAAGGCTGTATTGGGAAGACCTTGTCCTTAACTACTTTCTCATTATTAAAGAAAACTGGAAGCTTATCTTCATATTCTGCTTCAGCAGTGATTATGTGTATTTCCACCGAGCTCAGCGTATTGTGCTTCACTCCCTCCTACCCACTGACCTTATCTTTTTACTGTGCTTGTTGCCGCATTCCCGTTTTGCTGTCTTACACCAGAGCCTCAGATATCCCAGGAAATCTGTCCTCTATTTTTGCTGTCCGGAAGACTCTGGCAATTCATCTCCTAGTGCTCAAAACAAAAGGAGAATGAAACTGAATTAGACCAAGAGTCCATTTAGTCCAGTATCCTGTCTCTGACAGCAACATGGAGGGAGGAGTGGAAAAGCACAAATAACACCTCCACAGAGTACTCTTCCAGTCTTCAAACCACTGGCAGCCGGGGGACTTCCTCAGCTGCATGTGGTTTCACTGCATTCTGCCGTCCACAGCTCTCTCCCTTAATTTTGTCCTGTTACCCCCAGGCCCATGCTGATTGTTGGCTTCCATCACGTGTGAGGAGTTCCACACCAGGACTGTCCACTGCAGGAAAAACCCAGCTTTGCCCTGAACCCAAGTCCTGCTAGTTTTGGTGTTCCTTCAACAAAGCTTTGTTTAGGTTGGGGGCGGGGAGGGCAATGAGGAGGCTTTTCTTGAGCTGCATTTTTATTTAGAAAATTTTTTTCTTTAAAGGCAAATCTAATGAAAAATTTTGTTGCCAAAATTGAGATGAAATTAGATATTCTGAGGTTGTTTCTTGCGTTCTGCTCTTCTTTCTTCCCTGTTCCTCTCCCTCACAGGACTTCTTTCCTATAACTGCATATCTCTAGCCACTTCTGTGTGTTTCTTCTGAAGGTTGGTACGATGTTTCCAGAATACTTGCATAACAACTGAAAATCCCCCAACCCTGAGCACATGGGGATTACGTCCCCAGTCAGGCAAATAAGTTAAGCACGTGCTCAGGGTTGGAGGATTTTCAGTTATGCAAGTATTCTCCATCCAATAACCTCTATCCTGCAAATTGGTGTGCCTCTGTAAGCAGTCCTGCTTAATTGTTTAAGTGCTTGGACTCAAGTGGTTAAGTGTGAGGCCCTAAGTGCATTTCTTCTACAAAAAAAAAAAAAGAATCTACTGATACAGAGTTCATGGTTATGTTTCCTTACAGTGCCAATAGTGGAAGAAACTATTCCTCGTGTTACTGCAGGGCTGGGTAAAAGCTCGTTAGCTTCTCTCTAACTTTGTATCTTAGCTTGTGCTTTGCAGGATCAAACCTGATATTGGAGGAAGTATAGCACGGGCTATTTCTGCCTGTGGGTCTGGGAAGTTGTGGGTGCCTTCTGTTCCAGTTTCTGCCACTGTCAGTGTGAGTGTAAGCAAATGGCTTCCTCTGTATCAATTGTGGTCATATAATTGCGTCGATAGGAGGAAAAGAATAGAGAATTAATTGTTTCAGAAAAAAGATTTGCTGATTATTTGTGGAAAGTACCATACTGTGTATGCAGTTAGATAGCAGTCTGTATGTATGTGCTTTTGACGCACTTGGTGGAATTTTTTTCCAAGTCACCAGCACACTTGTATGGCTCTGAAAGATGAGCTGTGTCATGGAGGAATGATTCTAGTTTATATTAGAAACATGGAACGTGGTGCATAACAGGCAGCTAACTTAAAATAAGATGAATTTTAATTTCTGAAAATTTATGCACTTTGTTCCGTATTTTTTCTTAAGATTAGAAAGTAAATTGACTTTTACGTAGGTTACTTTGTTCAAAGCGCTGCTGCTTAAAAGGGTGCTAATAACCATGAAAATTCAGGAGCAAAATGTAGATCTTTGATCCGCAGTGTGTCTTCCTCATTGCCTTGCTAAACTGCCAATTTGGAGACCTCTGGTGGGGTCTCTGACAAAATTGATGCAGGCATATTTTTTATTAGTATTTTTAGTACTTCCAAAACCGGAACAAAAATGACATTGGCAGATTACTTGCCTTAGGTCATCCTTTTAATTGAAGTAGCCAAGTAAACATGCATACCAGTCCCCAAAAAAGAGATAACTAACATTTAGTTGCACACAGATGTAGATAACTTAATATGCAGTTCTGACCTATTTGGAGTCAGATCATGAATAAATATTTGACTACTTGCTGATCAAACAGAAATGACTTTGAACGCTGGTTTTGACAGTGGTTTGTCATGCTGCCAGTAGGCCAAAAAAAAAAGAAAAAAAAAAGACAGCTTTCCAAAACAGTAGGTGTAATACTGTATCTCTGATACATCATTCATGGTGTTTGCTCTGTTAAAGAACATGTATAGAGTGGATTATATGTTTTGTCACCAAATGGGAACAGAGAAGGGATTCTGCCTTGATGACATGCTCATTCTGTCTGTAAGTAGAGTACAGCAAATGTCATAGGATACTTTCGAGCACTGTACCAAACTCATAATTTTAGAACAAGCATTAAATCTGCATAAATTTCGCAGTCTTGTGTAAATGGGAAAGAATGGATCTTGTCTTGCTTAGCAATGGCTTAATTGACTGGATGGCTACTACGTGAACTTCTTGCATCTTAATATCTGGACTGAACAATCTGTTTCTTGTTTTTGCCCTTTGAAGGCCCTTTACTGAAGTCAGTAGGAGCTTATGTGCAAAGTAATTGGCAAAAAAGAAGTCTGTTAGAAGAGAATAGACAAGAAAACCAGGCCTCCCTGGAATTAGTGGCAAAGAGTCATTAGGCTGGTGGGAGCGAGTGTGTGGAGACCTGTGTACCCACAGGCTTCCAGGTGGTTGTTGTGTGCATCGACTTCCCAACATCACATTGTAGTGTCAGATTCCCATGATGGCATGGTACTATCCTGGTATTGTGCTAGCTCCAAGTGCAGGCCAAGTTCGTGTACTGCTGTTCACCTTGCTATATATGCAGTGTTTGGTTTGAACACTGATCTTTGACATGTTATGTGATTTGCTTCTAAGTAGTCAGCATATCAGTTCTCTGTACTAGAAATGAAAGTATTGCCTTGTATCTTGTATACCTAGAAGGCAAAAATCTGAAACCGAGTGGGATCGGCAAAGCTCCTGAACTTGCTCCTCCAAAGATGAAGCATTGTAAGGAGTTATTCACAAAATGAATTTTTTAATTGTTAATTTGTTTCTAAAAATACAGATGCAAATTCTTTTTACTGCCAAGAAATTCTTGTTGACTCCTATAGTTAGTTCAGGACTGGAAGAAGAGCAGGGAAGCTGGTGAAGGGTCTGGAGCACAAGTCTGATGAGGAGCGGCTGAGGGACCTGGAGTTGTTCAGCCTGGAGAAAAGGAGGCTGAGGGGAGACCTGATCGCTCTCTGCAACTACCTGAAAGGAGGGTGTAGTCAGGTGGGGTCTGGTCTCTTCTCCCAGGTAACAAGCGATAGGATGAGAGGAAATGGCCTCAAGTTGTGCCAGGGGAGGTTTAGATTGGATATTAGGAAAAATATCTTCACCAAAAGCGTTGTCAGGCATTGGAACAGGCTGCCCAGGGGAGTGGGGGAGGTACTGTCCCTGGGGGGGGTTTCAGGAGTCACCATCCCTGGGAGTATTTAAAAGATGTGTAGATGTGGTGCTTAGGGACATGGTTTAGTGGTAGAGTTGGCAGTGCCAGGTTAAAGGTTCGACTTGATGATCTTAAAGGTCTTTTCCAACCTAAATGATTCTATGATTCTATAGTCTATTACCTTTGGTTTTTATTGAGATAATGGTGCTATAAATATTAGATTAAAAATATAGTACATAAAATTGTGTAAATGCTCATTTTCCTCTTCAGAGAAGATGAACGTCTTACTAAAATAAAGTTAAAAACAGAAAATTGACCAACAATCCAGGAGTTACTGACTTTTTTTTTTTTTTTCATTTGAGGGTACTCTTGAGTATGGCACTATCTGCTAATACTGACAAGGGGACACTTAGTGAATACTTGAAAGCTGTTCCTCCTCAACAGTTGCATGCGTTTGAATGTGAAAGGTGAACGGTAGATTTTATAGTAATGTTATGCTATTTCCCTTTTAATATTTAGGATTAGCGATATTCTTGTCCATTAACAATTCTACTGTATATGCCTCAAATTGCTGTTATGAAAGGTGAGGTGATTGTGAATGTTACAGGCTTCAGTGCAGCTTTTTGAGATCAACTAACACTTCTAAATTTTGATATTTTAAAACTTAACTGTTTTAAAGGTAAGGTCAATTTATTTTAAGGGATGACAGTGTTTTTTATTTAATTACTTTATAGGAATATTTTGTTTGCATAACTTTCCAGTTTGAAACAGTACAAGTAGTTAAAGACAATCTCAACTTTTTCTAATTCCTCGCTAAATTGGAGATAAACTAGGTTTTTTTGGTAGGACTTGTAACAGCTCTGCTTGCACGGGTCTGATTGCAAGACAAAAGGCAAAGTGCTTTCCATTGATCATTTCAGCAAGGGCAACAATCTCCTGCTCTCCTTTTCTTCCTGCTTTTTCATTCTGAAGCACAGTAGCAGCAAAAGAAAAATATTCAAAATGCTGCAACTGGGAGCAGGAATTGCTCTGCAGACACCTAAATCTACAGACCCTGATGGTGCAGAGAAACGTGTAGCTATCAGGAGAATAGCCAGCTTGCCGTGGTCCAAATGGAGCTCTCTGAAAATAGCACTCAAGGTGAAGTGGAATAGGTCATTTAACTTCCCTTTTTGCTGCACAGGGGAAGCTGTTACGCTTTACACCATGTCGCTGGAGGATTTCAAAAGGAGTTTTTCCTGTCATTAGGATAGGGAGGTACCGCATCCTCTACATCAAAGTTTCCATCAGTAGGAAAGTGTCTTGTTGACTTCCACAGGCAACAGATCGGATCATTAAAATGCTAATCTTCCTGGGTTTTAAACTGAGCATTAAAAGCGCTTGATCACTTAATGGGCAGTGGGCTGAAAGCTTGCAGCGTGGGGAAGAATCTGTGGGTGAAGTATGCCAGTGTGGTTACAGTGTGTCACTTGTAAAATACGAAGAGGCAGCAGCTCACACTGATCCTCCTTTTGCAGCGGAGCTGTGCTCTGCAGGAACAATCAGAAATACTTTCTTTCTGCATCTTTTACTGTTCTTAGACTGTACTTCTGCCAGTAAGGTAAGGCAAATTTTTGCTGAGGAAACTGAAAGGGAGAGCAGCAAGCAGCAAGATTCATGCACAGATTTCCCTTCCCCTCCTCTCCTGTACAAGATTCTCTGATCAGCTTCTTTGTTAACAGGGCCAGGTGAAACGGTGAGTCCTCATCCAGCACTGCTTGCTCAGCACTCCTTGCTCCTTCTGCAACTCTTTCGTGTTTCATAGACCTTTACAGCAGCTGGTTACTTACCTGTCCCCCCTACTTGGCCGCTGTCCCTTGCCTCAACAACCCAGTGCCGTGATAAGAGAGATTGCGAGTGCAGCTCCTTTTGCTCCCACAGATAGCTTCCAAAGCCTGCATGGAGGCTGCTCCTGAGGCGACATCAATGGCATCCTCTCCTTGCCCAAGAGCAGATCCTCCTTTGGGCCTCATCCAAAGTCCTCTGGAGCTGATAGAAGGGCTCTCTTGAATTTGGCTGTCTTTGAATCGGACTGTCTCCCTTCTTGTTGCTTAACAGCAGGCTCCTTTCCCAGCTAACTCAAAGTGGGTCCTCATGTGGAAAAACTGAAAATTGAGCAAAATCATTTCAGGTTTTTTTCCCCAGTTCTGTTCCACTGACTGGTATCCTTGTAATTGCAGTTGCACTGGAAGGAGATCAGTCACATAGATCTCTTCCAGAAGTTAATTCATGGCCTTATGTTGATTTGTTACTGTGAACATACACAGCTGCGTGTGAGGAAGGATGTCTGGTACGCTGTGTGTGTAAGACACGTTGTGTGCTGGTCATACTTCCCCTCCGGGTCATGTGTTTTTCACAGTGTAGTTAATCACTGACTGTGTCTCTTGTGAAGTTTACTCATTTCTTTGAGTTCTTTCATTTGCTTATAGAAGGGGTTTTCTTAGAGAAGTCTATTTAACGTCTGCTTTATTCTTTCTTTTTGAAGAAACCTTTCCACTGTAAGATCAGTGATTGCAGCCCTGTGTAGTATTAGCATTGACCCCCAAATTAATAAAACTGGGGTGATGGGAAATCCTCAAAGTATGAAAATGAACGTCCTCCCCTCTTCAAGGCTGAAGCTTTGCTTGTGATGTTATGAAACTGAACAGCATGTCCCTGTTTATTGGCTTTGAGGTTTTCCTTGCACATGGTAGGTATAGAAATGCAGGCCTCTCTTCCAAGTCTATTTGTGTTAAGTAAACTAGACTTAAAGCATATTCTTGATGTGCAAAGTAGTATTGCTTTTACTGTTGTGTGGAACAGGATAACTGCTTATATCAGTTTTGGATAATGTGGCTCTTCTAAAATATTTTCAGAGTAGCTCTGAATTGAAACCTAAAATGAAGTACAACTTGCCAGTTTGGATAGGAAATACTGTAGGTAGTGAATTTTTTATGCATAGTTTCCATTGATCTTACATGACAGAGCAAAAAGAAATGATGCTTTCATAGGCTTCTGTACATTATTGTGCTGGCAATTGATCTTTGTTGATTTTGCATGTTGTGACTGACTGCTAATTAAATAACTGGGATCGGTGTTTCATTTCAATTTTCTATTCTCCTACAGTGCGACAAAATCAAGCAAGAACGAGATGAGGCTGTCAAAAAACTGGAGGAGTTTCAGAAAAGTAAGTTGATAATGTTAGTGGGAATTTCTTGATCTAGAGAGTTATGAACATTACTCTGCATAATCTCCAGCAGTGATAAGAATGCTGAGATTCAAGTCCACTTGCTGTTTCTCCTTCAAAGCGTTGTTTTAAGGAGTTAATCCAGTGAGACTTTGACCGTTGTCAGACTAACTGCTGTCACAGCATTTGTATGCTCTGACACAGGTAGCCATTCTTAAAGTGCGAAGTGGTGAAAACACAGTGGTACAAATGCAGCTCTATCTCACCTGGATTCAGCAAGTGACTTTCAGAATGATATGTGCTTGGACTGAGTGAGATTTCACCCTATTGCTGAGATTGCCGCTAGTAATAATAATGGTAATTTTTTCATGAAGAAGGACTAAAATTACTTTAAGCATAGACACACCAAGAAAAGGATTTTAGGATGAACTGCTGTCTCTTGATAATTTTTAGAGCAAGTTCTGTCTTGTCAGGGCTGTAAGAATGTCAATATTCACTTTTACACTTTTGTAGTAGTGGTTCTATTGAAACTCTGTGGTGTCTGGAAGCAACAAAGCACATCTAATGGGAGTGGAAGTATCCTAGTGGAATAGCTCCTTAGAAGAGACAATTACAATAGGATTGTGGTCTGTTATGTCTGGTTTGTGCCAGTATGGTGAACTGCACTACGAAGCATCAGAAATGTGAGTGAAGTTAATGCAGGAGAAGGAAATCATATGGTCTATACTTTTGTGTGACTGTATTAATAGTGGAATTTGCTCACTTCTGTTTTATAATTGTTCATATGATACAGTTATGGAAAATAATCTAAAATCAACAGGAATCATCTACTGCCTTAAATGATCTTAGGTAACTGTTCTGTGAGGCAAGAATGTTCTCTATGAAGTCTAATTCCTCTGGAAAAAATTGCAGCCTGTTTTGTTTTTGTTATGATACAAGGAATACCGGAGTGTGACAGAAAATGTCAAGTAGTTAAGACTTAAAATTTGAAGTAATATTTGATGTTGTAAAATTTTATAGGTTTCTTTTATCTTCCTTTCACATTTTTAAAGGACATACCTTGTAAACATAGTGATAAAATGCCAGGAATATTAGGATTTTAAGGCAATAATAGAGCCCATTATTTAAACGACAATATAAAAGGCAATTATATTGATGAAGAGCTACATCGGCTTTGTGTCTGTGAATAAACTTGGCCTGTACTCAGCTTCTATTTGTTCTCCTGGCATAAACACATATTGTGTGTGATTCCAGTTTAATGGGGCCCCGTTTGTATGCCAAGCAGCTGCATTTTAGGCCCTATTGCGTGATTTCATAGCTCTCTGAAAATTGGTTCTATTGAGCACAAGAGATAGAAGGTGGTGGTGGGGGGGAAAGCTTCAACACACAATCATTTCTTTTCAATTGGAGCCAGCAAGGTTGATGACAACATGACCATTGTGTTATAATGATAAGACCACTAAGGATCTGTACCTCTCATCAAGGCTTTCACACAACAGCAGATACAATTTAATTCACTGCTCTGTCAGCAGTGCTGATACCATTATGCCGTCTGTCTCCACAGTTATAATCACTGTCCTCCGAGAAATGCAGTTGAAATGATCTTGAGCAGTCAAAGAAACTCTCAATTAAGGCTGCCACTTCCAATGTGTCAGATTGTGTCTTATGCACTTGGTACAATTTTCACTTCCAATCCTGTTTATTTACAATGTCTACCAGTAATTACGCTTAACATGTCATTTAGTGAGGGTGCCCCTGCCAAGGAGATTGTTGGGTGCTGCAGTACCATTGAGTGGGAGTTTCTCGCAGTCAATGCCATCAGCGGCTTTTAGTCCCTGATGGGATGCAGTAGTAATGTTGATAATGCAAGTATCGTGCTCATCAAGTCATAATTAGATGCCACTCAAATGTGCCACTTGTAATAACAGTGTTGATTCATGTTTTCTCGGTGACTGCAACTACTAATTAGTTAAGTGGTTTTTGGTTGGCCTGCATTTGCTGCGGATTATTATTACCCCTGAAAAAAACTGTCAAGGTTAGAGATGTTTCAGGCCACTTAGTGCTGCTTTATGAATTTTAATATTGACATAATAAGAACTTTGGACAGACTTAGGAAATAATATATTTTTGTATTTAATTTGGAAAGATTTTTTCCCCTGAGTTAATCATAATTGCAGGTTAATTAAGTTTAAATGAACCAAGAATAATCCCTAGTTCTGCCATGTGAGCCCAATCCTTGTTTCCTAACTTTGCTTGAGGCCATTAGATTCCTGTCTGTAAAATGGGAGCAGCTCTGTATCCTCTCTGCTCCCTTATCCTGCCCAAAGCATTTCATTGCTCCAAATTCCCAGAGCTAGGCAGAATAAAACCAGAAGAGATGTGGACATGTTCTACCTGAAGCTTTTCCTCTCTCAAATTAAATACAGCAGCTGGTATGGCACCCTTGGAGCAGATAATTTCTCCAAATTTTCCATTTCAGAAAAAAATGGAAATAAAAAGACAACCAAAGAAAGAGGTGTGGTTGCTCTGCTGTTAAAAGACTTTATGTGAATATAGTTTTTGGACCAAGATTTCTCAATACGCTGCCCTGCTCTTTTTTTGACTGCTCATATTTCATAGAACTTATTTCTTGCATGCAGCTACTGATTTGACAGCAAACTCCAATGTATTGCTGGTTTCCTATGTTATTAATGAAAATGTTAGTTAATATTGACTAAGTAAAGCTGCATAAATAACACTTAACGGCCTGCTTTTTCCTATCCTAAAGTTCTGTTTTGTAGTCATTAAAATGACCTCTGGATATCAAAGAGGACTTAAGTATCTCTCCTCAATATTTAGGCAAAAGTCTTGGAAGAGGGCAAGTGGGACTTTATACCCAGTGGTATGAAATCACTAGTTTTTAAAGCTTATCTTCATGAAAATGAAAGGAGATAGTCCTTCATATTTACACTATATTCTTCCAGCCTTGTTTCTGCTTTAAAGTATTGTTTAGCTGTGAATAGTTTTTTCTGCACATTGAAATCCTGACACGGGGCTGAAAAAGAATCTGCAACATCAAATTACTTACAGAATTAGGGTCCAGTCTGCTGCTTGGGATGAATAAAGGTGCCAGGAACCAAGGAGGAGTTGCATCAATGGGCAAGGCGCTAGCCTGAGAAATGGGAAACTCTTGCTGGGTTTCCTGCTTTGCTCCAGATCCCCTGTGCGACTTGAAGCTTGTCACTTAGAAGATGACTTTCAGCACTAGCAGTACCTGCGTACCTCTGGAAGTTGCGAGGAATTCCAAGCCAAAACGCACCTGTGCTTTTAAATGTCCTCTAACTCACATTGGTATCCTGCATTGCAAAATAAGATTTGTTCCGTAACTTTTTGGTCACTCTAGGAATGTTGCGTATCTTCAATACAGCGATGTGTACCCACTGCAGTAATAGGGATCCTGTAAATGCAAAGGACAGATGTTTCTCTTGCTTTTCCAGCTGTGACATCAAATATGGTAGCACAGTCATGTATTTCAGATGCAGTCAGGCAGCTCACTTTTGCGCAGAGAAGATTGTATGTGTCTCTGTGTGTGTGTGCTGGTGTCTGAATCTGTGTAGGACTGTAAAGGCAGGGTGTGAGACCGCAGTGCTTATTTTAGGGCACGCTTAAGCACAGAGAGTCTTCACATAAGAAACAGTTCAGTCATTACAGAGCTTGGGTTGTTTAGCTGAGGTTGTCAAAAATCGGGCAATGCATGCTGTGTTGAGTTTCCATCAGGATTGCATCCATCAGGGTGTATCCCAGCTGCTGCAGGTAGTGTCGAAGCTGATGAGGCAGAACCGGAAGGACCAACTGTGCTGTGCTAATGATTTTACTTCAGTGGAGTATGTGCCGTAGGAGGCACTACAAATATGGAGGCTTTGGTCACTTAACTGCTTTCTCCATTTCCTAGTAAACTTGCCCCAGGCCTGTGCTATATGTCTGTCCTGCAGCTCTCCCTGTACAGTGTGTTTAGCAAGTATGATGATGCTTAAAATACCGTATAAACCTGAAGTCCGAAAGGTGAAAATAAACTTTATAAGACACCTGAGTTAATCTTGCTGTTTAAAAATATCGAGGTTTAAACTTCTGGAAATGGCATCCATACCTAACTTTCAAGAGGATTATGATGGCAATCTGAAGGGACAATCCCAGTGGTCTGACTTGGATTCCTCAAGTGTTAATGAAATAAAGATGGTGAATGACGATGGTCAGGGAGGCTCCTGCTGGCCGCCTACTTCCATAAGTTTATGCTCAGTTCTCCAGTTTCCCCTCCAATGATGCGGACACAGCTTGAGCAAGTTGCTTAAAGCAATGAACCAGATACTCAATGTTCAAAACAGTCCCTATCCATGGAGATTGTCTAAGTACGTACTTCCCTGTGTTTGAAATGCTTATGTAGAAAGTTAACGGAAAAACATGTAATATTTCTGATCATGGGATACATGTGTCAAATGCAGGAAAATACTGACTAATTTTTAAACTCTTCCCCTAGTTTCTCACATGGTTATTGAGGAAGTAAACTGTATTCAGAACCATCTTGAAATTGAGAAGACGTGCCGTGAAAGTGCTGAGGCTTTGGCTTCTAAGGTGAGAAGACTTATGGTGATTCTGTTTCATCCAATTTCTTTTTTAATTTTGGTTTTTTAACTTGAGATTGTATATGTGTCCATATATGTTTTTGTATAATCTTGGGGATGTGGGAAATTGTTTTGAAGTGGCAAAAGCTATAAGCCATATGCGAGATGCGAAATACAATTCCCTCCTTTAAAGAAAAAAATACCTGTTTTAATTTATTTTCTATTTTGGAACAATAAATTATGGACCAGCATCTTGATATCTAGTTTTTATATGCATTTAGGTTAAATGGAAAACAAGTTTTAGAACTGTCCTGTGTGAGATATAAAACAATAATGAGCATTTCAGTGTCTAAATCAAATGGAAAAAGTCAAACACTGCATTACATTTCAGGTGATTGTTTATGAAAGCAAAGCGAGGGCAGGGGAAAGGTGACCTCCGCTGCTCTGTTGATTGCGTCTAGTCTGATGAATTTAGCAAGTGTGTAATTTTCTATATTCCATCTCATCAGAAGTGCATTATTATTAAAGAATGTTTTTATCTCTCTGTTATATATTTTTGGTTGTGTAAAATGCATCTGAGCCACTTCATCAGAAAATGGATTACAGCAATTTTGAACCAAATTTCATTAGCAATGCTGACTGCCTTTTCTTTTCTTTTTTTTTTTTTTTCCCTTCCCATCCCCTGCCCAAAGTACATCCTTAGATATGGTAAAAATCACACCAGCAAGAAATCACTTTAATTTAGATGCATTAGCAATGTACTTTCTGGAGGTATTTACTTAATTGTTTGCATAATGACACTATATTAGAATTCATAAGATAGACAATCAGCATATAAGTAAGAAAATGAACGTATTTATGCAACTTTTCTTCTTCTCTGCACTTTTCCTGTAATGCATGTACAGGGACAGTTCAAAGACTAGCTTTACCCCATGGGGCTGCTTTGCCAAAGCTGATTTGTTTGTTGTTGTGAGCTGACTAAATCAGGTTCCTTACCCCACCCTTCCCACTTGCTCAGTTTCATTCTTTGGGAATGAGATGAAGAAGTTTTTGAGTAAATCTCTTGTAGTTGGGGGGCTTAGGAAAGGGGGGATCAAAGATGATTGCTTAGGTAAAACTTCAGGGTCAGCCTAACTGTTCGGTATGCATTTCATTTCAAGGTAAACATTGGACTTCTGAAGTCTATGTTGACTTCAACATGTTGTACTAATGGTTAGTAGAAAATTGAGCCTCATTCTTAGACCTGAATGCAAGGAGTGCTTGGCTGGTGGCTGGGCAGTCACCCCAAGATATGCCTGAACACCCCTGAGACTGTGCTGAGCTTGCTGAGAGCTGCTGGCAAGGGGTGTCTAGATACAGAACAGTGAAGGAAATGGTGAGAGTGAAACATTTGTAGCAGTCTCTGTTGTTCAACTATTCCTGGCACCTTGGTGGAGATGGAGATGCCTTACAAGACCAATTCCTTATCATCCACCAATGAGGCATGTGTTTAACCATCCAGCTGAGAGTGGTTTCTGACTTCTGGTTTGACCCATAAAGTATTGGTGTATAAGGCTTTCATCTTACATATATTGACTCTACAGTAAGAATTACTGCGAATTGAAAATAATTCAAAAGGGTTTTGAGGTAATTCTGCCGTGACTGGGAGTATAGTAGTTGTGGTGTTAGTAGTTTATAAGCAAAATAAGGACAAAGGAAGAAGTAAGAATTTTTATTTGACCAATTAATATAGCTGGGAAAACCAGACGAGGTTTCAGGAACACAAACTCTTCTTCAGGTTATTCAGTTAGGGCTCCTGTTGATGCTGGTACATGCTTAAGGGTATGGAGCTGAAGCAGCTATCACTTAGAATGTGATAGCATTAAGTAAGCCTGATGATAGTTGATTTAATTTGAACCTACACAGGGTATTTATTAGTCAGAAGTACCAGTGAGGAAGGAAGAGCATAGATGAAGCATCATGTTGAATTCAAGCTTCCTCAGAGGAGGAGGACAAGCTTCCCATCTTCAGACCATTTTAATGTTGAATGGAGCATTTAATCTAATGTTACTTTGTCTTCTTTGTTTGATAGATCTTTTAATGATAAGGGAGAAAAAAATAGAGCAGCTTAAAGACAGACTAACTAGCTTCTTACTGTTTGTGCTTCTCAACTTTCAGCTGAACAAAGAAAATAAGACCTTGAAAAGAATTAGTATGCTTTATATGGCAAAACTGGGCCCAGAAATTATCACTGAAGAGATTAACATTGATGAGGACGATTCATCCACAGATACAGAAGCTAACTCTGGATCATGCAATTCTGTGCATTGTCAGCAGCAAATAAAAGGTGAGTGTTGTTGCTGAGCTTACACCACCATACAAGGCAGAAGTTGTCTAAAGAATGGCAGTATTGGTTTGGACCAGAGATCTGTCTGGCTCAGAGTCAGGCTTCTGAGAGTGGGCATCAAAGGATTTCCAGGAAAGCCGGTAAGAACATGGTAGGCTTGTAGTGATACTGTGTAATGTATACAGTGGATATACAGCCTGCAAAGTAAGTTACAATGCAACAGGAAAATGAGATCTACAGGCTAAGAGATTTCAGTGTTACTGAGTTGGTAGAAGAAATATTTCCTCAGATCATTAACAAAGTAAAACTTAAGCAGAAGGACAAGGTCACCTTGATATTGCTTCAACTGCAATGTCACTATTTCAAAGCTTGTAAAAGACGGGACTCTCTGTTTCCATTTCCATTATGTACCTTTGTATGCACATACTTCAATTATATTCCAGAGCTGTTACCAAACAAGCAACTGAAAAAGAGACTGTTGTACTGGGTAAAACAGCAAAGCTTGGGAATGTGGCAATACATTGATAAGATAAATCTATGCTTTATTAAGAAATTTCTGGTTCTTTTCTGAAAGGCATTTCCTATTTCTGTAATCCAAAATCTGCCTTCCTTTCTCATCTTAACTCTGTGTTGAAGCCATCATGATTCTATATGTTGTTATATCATAGTATGCAAAAAATGGAAATGCCCACATTCTGCATTTGGTGACAGAGAGAGAGATTAGGTGGTTCACTTTTTTAAATAAAAAGCTTTCACTTTTTTTCTGATAGACATAATTCGCTATTGTAACTTACTAAGTACAGCTTTCCTGAACTTTCAGCCTGACCTCATTAATTGTTTTCTGCTGGAATGCAGCAGCCTCAATGAAGTGGTACAAAGTACCACTGAGAAAAAAGAAAGTGTGTTGTAAAAGTTCTTTTCAAAAAAACCCACCCAAGAAATAAGATGTCATAATACCCTTCTATAATAAGCAATTTTCCATCCTATAAATGTAGGAAAAGAGAACAGTGTGATACACACCATGCAACCCATCTGAATCAGAAATAAGACTTGGGACTTCCTCCTGTCTTTTATTGGAGAAAGATGTCAAGGATACATTTCAAGAGAGCAAAGACTCTGACTGCAGATCAGAGAACGTGGTTAGGAGGGTAGCAGGGTCAAATGAGAGAAATATTTCAAGAAGAGCTCTGATGTATATGCTTTCTGTCTTGAAGAATTCATTAAAGAATGAAATGTGGCATGTTGTAAGGAATTTAGAACTCTGGCTTCTGCTCCTCTCTCTAGCCTTATTATTGAATGTTAATGACCTTGCTTTTACAAGTGCTGAGTATTTGTAAAAGCATTGGCATCCCATTTGCTGTAGGAGAAGATATTCCATCCCTGTACCTGGAGAGAAGCATGTGTGTCTGTGGTAGCAGAGTGACCTGACCACATGTACCAAAAGGCAGTGGTAGGGCTGTGTCCCTAGCCTAGGCCAAGCTGCATGGTGTTTGTCTTCAGGGAAAAATCTGATGTTACAGCTTGGAGTACCTGCTAAGTGAAAGACCATATGCAATGAAAGATGTGTTTTCAAAACTCCCCTTAATGTTTTGTGGTGTTGTCCAAGGTGAAATCTGCCTATCTATGCATGTTTATGATTCCTAGCGGTTGTGTTTTGTGCTGGGAACCTTGGAAGTCTTTTAGCCTTCTCACTATCCAACGAAATACTGGATGTTTCTTGGAATGATTCCTTCCTTCCCACCACTTTTCTGTAAGCATATACAAAAAAACGTAGTAGAGTATGAGGCTCTTTGATTAAAACCTTCTCATTTATTAAAGGGATAAACTTTTGTCCCTCTGATACCTTCCTCTGTTTTTGCTCTCTCATAGATTAGGGAAAGGTGATAGTAAAGCTGTAGTTCCTAATGCAAGTGTAGAGTGATCTCAGAGCAGTACCTGAAATTCATTTATAGATTTTGGGTTTTCTTTTTCTTTTTTAGCTGACCTTTCCGATATAACAAGAACTGAAAATTAGCTGTGTTGGTCAAACAGTTTAGTGCATACCCTGTATCTGAAAAGAAACATTTCTTATATACACATTTATAAAGATTTAGTTATATGGATATGATTTATTCTCTGTATGAGGTTGATATATATATATTGTAAGACCTGACTTAATCCAGTTACTATAAATTTCAGACCTTTTTTCCCATTAATTTCACTGGAAAGCACAAATCCATAAAACAGACTATTTGATTCAAGAATCTTCTGGGAAAACAAGTCTTTTTATTTACGTTAGAATGCGTGTGCCTTTAATTTTGAGAAAAATAAATCTGAGGCTCCTGAATTGGGAGGGGGTGGCTGGGGTAGAATCAACATTTTCAAGATGTGACACCAAACAGAATGACATCCAGCGTGTCATCATCATCTGCAATTGATTAGCAACAATTTTCTCAACTTGTGGCTGGTATTCAACGAAGAGCAGTACTATGAAATACTGGAAGCAGGTGGGGAATGAGAGCACTTACTGGAAGCTAATATACATCAATAAATTTATATTTTTATGGTGTTTTTATGTTAACCTAAACCTTGATATATTATGTATGCAAACTGATCTCCTGTTAAGAAGTGATTATAATCAAATGTTTTATTCCATTGTGAATTTAATTTATTTAATATTTTGATAATTAAGGAACAAAAATTCTGAGGGGAAAATTACCAGCATTAGCTCTTCCATCAGTAAAGGTTATATTCTGACTCTGTTCACATAATGTTACAAAGACTATAAATTGGCAGCTGTTCAGGACAATTTCTTCAGTGAAAACCTCCCAAGTACTAACTGCCTGTTGTTTTGTTTATTTATTTCCCTTGTGACAAGAACTCATGATCCAAAAAGAACTGAAGTGCATTAATTTGTTTTAAAGGATGTCTATTAAAAATTGCTTTCTGCCACCTCTGTACCAGAGTCTCTGTGATGTGACAGTCTCCTGAGTAGGACTGAGGATACTCTGTGGTGGCAGGATTGGCCCCGTTATGGTAGAGAATGAATCATTCAGAATGCAAATAAAGACGGCAGTACTGAGCAAGGCAGCTTACCTCACGAGTGTAAATCTGAAACTGTGGCCCAGTTATAGATCTGTTACTTGACTCTCATGCGAAGTCCTAAATTATTGAGGATGTACCTTGAATACACCTGATGCTTTGTATGCAGTTAAGGTGTTCTGTACTTGATTGTATTTGCATTGGTGTGACATTTCCTTTGTTGTTTTCTTGCAAGAATAAAATATATTTTTCATTTCCTTCCTCAAACTGTAGAGCTGCGAGATCAAATCATATCTGTTCATGAGGAAAAGAAGACCTTAGCCATTGAACTGGAAAACCTGAGGTGCAAACTTGTAGAAGTAATTGAAGAAGTATGTATTGTACCATGGAAGGCGAGACCATGTTAGCATGTAGTCAGTACTTTTTGTATCTCATTTTGCTAAAAACGCTCAGTTGTGAAGTTAATTGAATACTATCTGATCGCAGGTCCTGCTAGCCAGCTCGTATGATGGACCATTAGGGCATATGCCTAGAAGGGGTCTTCTACATCAGAGTCCAGTCTGCTGCTGTTGCGGGCATATGACTTCTCATGCTCTGTTCTAATGCCCATATTATAACTCTCATCTCCACTTCCCAACAGCCCCTCACCTATCACAGCCTGTGGGGTTTGGGGTTTTTTTTTTTTATTTCCTTAAACCTGTGGATGTGCAAGAAATACTTCTGGACAATGTCCAGTTTAATCCCTGGTGCTACTTCATTGAGCATATCCTTGAGTTTAGCCATTGGCAGTGCCCTGTCATGGTAATTAGACCAGCAAATTGTTTTTTTGAGCCAGCAGAGTTTTTTTTTCCTGCTTGAAAACTGGATAAGCCATGTACTGATGCAAATCAGGACTTAGTGGCTCTTCCTGTCTATGCAACACGTGCATTCAGAAAGACACAGCTGACAGCTCTTGGACAATAAACAGAGCCCAGGAAAAAAAGCAAAACAGCAGCCTGACTATATTAAAACGCAAAGTCAAGCGCAAGCTAGTAACTTTTCAACCAGGTGCTGTGGCGCCTCATCCTGAAAGGTTCCAAAGATGTTGTATTTGCAGCTGTGACTGGTACGTGCCATGAGAATGGGCCATGGGAGCCACATGTGAAGGATTAGTTCATATTCCTTCAATGCCATCTGTTATGGGGTCTGTAAGTTGGGTAAAAATGCTTTCCATTCCACCGGAAACCCTAAGATCAAGCCAAACCTAAGAAACAGAAGTGCTGAGAGCGAAGTATTGCTTGCATTATGTCTTGGTATATACCTTATGCCACTAACTAAAATTTTTTTTTTTTTCTTTACACTTTCCTAGGTGAATAAAGTGAAAGAAGAAAAGGCTGCTTTGACAGCAGAAGTTAATAAGCAGCAAAAACTGCTGGAGAAATGTAACAGAGGTGTGTGGTCTCAGCAGGTTCTCTAACGGTTTGCTACATTCTTTGCAGAAGTTTCAGAGCTTTTATGTTGTAGCACAAAGAGGTTACAGAACAGTGACTGTGGTCCAGATCTGACATTCGGCATTATTGCTGCGGGCACTGCATAAACACAGAAACTATTCTAGACTGTCTGTATTCCAGGAAAATGGAACTGTGTAAATAACAGGTTGAATGTGAGAAGAGGAAAACTTTTTGCTCTGTGGTACAAGTGGCAAGCTAGGACTCCTTCATAGAGATGGAGTTTGAATCTTATCCTGTTTTCCTAAATCATTACATTGCCTTCCATTTAATTGGGACACAGCTAATGATTTTGAATATCTAAAGACTTGGGAGCAACTTGCATGTTCAGAGGATGATGGGGAAAAGGCAAGAGTGCTGGGAATGAGATAAATAGGATTTCCAAGTTATGGAAGGAGAGCAGGGACTTTCCTTTCTTGGAAAGAGATGAGAGGTAAAACCGGGGCAGGAGAAGTCTAAAATAGGGCTCAGAAAAGGAAAGCTTTTCCTTAATGAAGGTGAGTACTTCCACATGAGAAATACTTGGCCCAAAAGTAGTTCAGAGGGGAGGGTGAAGATTTTAGTGTCTTGGATTACTGTGCCCTTTTCTCTTGTTGCCAATTTAGCCTTGTGAAATTAAAAATTGTTTGGTTAAAAGTCTCCTTGGCTGTTTCACGTTTTCCTGAAGTGGAAGACGACGAGTCTGGTCTCTAATGTCTCCTTGTCTTGATGCATTACTTGTTTTACCTTCCAGAGGCACTCAGTTATTTGTTCAACAGCACCTTAACAATACATCCTGGAAGTCTTCAGCTGCATTCCCAGTTATTCTGATTTATCTGTTTTACTTGCTTTCCTAGGGAGGAAAAAGAAAAAGCTCTTAAGAATCTCCCAGGAATTCTGAAACATTTGTCAGGCAGTGGAGGGAGTGGCCAGGGCTGCTGCTTTCACACAGAAGGACCTGTGGAAATAGCCACAGCTAAGTAGTGAAAATACAGAAGAAAAGTGCAGTCTTTGGAGTAGTGAAGAGTCCAATGATGGCATGGCCTTCTGCCAGTAATATTCTTTTTCTTTGGAAAAAGTATACAAAATCAGCATCGTCCATGTTTTCAAGGATACAGCTGAGTTTTGAATTACAGAGCTTTTAGTGGGAAATTATATTCTCTCTTTTTCTTTTACTGTCCAGTGGGACAGTGTCTATCTTCTATGAATGCTGCAGCTGTCTCTTAGCATAGAGAGAGGAGGTTTGCATAGTAAGGCATGTTCTGTAAGCTTATCTTACCTCTTTCATGTGTCTGCATTGCTTGAGGCAGTATTTGAAGACTCTTAAAACACCAAACTTTGGATAAGTTGATTAGCCAGACCAACTTGAAGAAGCTTTTGATGGGATAGTGTGGCAGATCAAATGTTTCTGAAATGTTTTTTTTTCTCTAAGCACAATCAAAAAAAAGAATGTCTTGTTTCACGTTTGCCTGTTTTCCAGGAAGGAGGAGTTATACCAGGTTAGGTCCTAATGCACAGGCAACAGAAAGCAAGATTTTTTTTGTATGCTTGAAATGGCCTACCAAGGTATCTATTCAATGCCTATTCAGTATCTGTTCTATGTGACACTGTCTTGGAGCTGTGTTATCAATACATTTCAGTCAGAGTTGGTGAATTTATCTTGAATCTTTTTGAGTGTATGGGTTTTTTGGGGGTTTTATTTTAAGTTTACATCATTTTGAGAGTCAAGAGGTTTGGGATGTGTATCCCACACTCTATCACTTACTGTCTGTAGCTTTAAAAACTGTTATGCTTGTCTGCAAAGAAGCAAGGAACTTACATAGGACAGTGTTAGAAACCCAGTGTCATCATCCTAGAAACTAGTCTTCAGCCAGTAAGAGCTGAAGCTTATGCAGGTAGTCACTGAGACATGTTAACCACAAATGATACTTGAGTACTCACAAAGGATGCTTGCTGTCGTGGATTGAGGGCTGTTCAGCATGGCTTGGGGAAGCATGCCCATGGTTAGCCTTAGCCACCCATATGAGCCTTGCTTTTGTGAGCACAGTTTAAATACAGGCAACACAAAATTGCAATGCTTTCTTCTTGAGGCTCCTTTAAATCTCTGTTGTAAAGGGACCCATCAAACCTTACTCAAACCAGGCAGGCAAATACGGGTGCCTCCAAAATAACATAGTAATCTTGGATAGGTTCAGCAAGGCTCTCTTGAGGCTTTGATTGCTAACACAAAGAGGTGAAATACGGTCTGTGCTACATGTTACTGGAGTTTTGAGTCCAGGCGGGAGGAGTATTACTCTATTCAGAAGATCAGTAATTGTGCATCTCTATATAGTGAGGTTTAGAGCAAACAGGACAAATGTTGCAAACGGGACTATATATGGAAATGTAAAACTAAGTTATACCTTCTTTCAAGGATTTGCAGTACTGGGGAATAACAACTTATCTGGGTAAAGCAAGCAGTACTTTCTTCTTATTTTGATCCATTCCACTTCTTATCTTGTTTTGTTCTATAAACAGTGTCTGTTCTGGCAGTAGAGGAATATGAAGAGCTTCATGTAAACTTTGAACTGGAAAAGAACCTGCGTAAGAAAGCAGAGTCGTTTGCACAAGAGGTGAGTAGTCAAGAAAAAGGGATCTTCTAAAATGAAGACATTGCAACTGGGCATCTACCAGCTTAGATGACTTGATTTCAATTCCTAGCTCCTGTACAAAAGATGTCTTTGAATGTCCATGTACTACTTAGCTAACATCTGTACTTCATCTGTAAAATGGGTTTCCTGTTTCAACAGCATTTATAAAGCACTTCAGAATTATCCGTGCAGTCTTACCTCTTTCTCCTTTTAAAGCAAGCCTTTAAATTTGTAATGGGCTTAGTCAGCCAAAACATTTCAATGTGGTATGTGTAGTGGTTGGATCTGGGAAGGATTAGTTGCCTTTCTAGTGATATAATTTGAAGCACTGTGTTTTTCCTGAAAAATATGTGAATTCACAAAAAAAGCATTGCAAAATACAATATTAGTTGTGGTTTGTGCAAGTTTGGCTACTATTTAACATATGCCTTTTGAATAACCTATTGCAGGGAGCATTCAAGCTGAAAAAAATTGTTTCCATGTTCTAGAAAAGGTACAAACTCCCAGAGAGGAAAGTGAGTTACTGGGTAGCATTATGGAATGGCTGGTGGTTGCTGCCTTAGGAAATGCTGACAAACTCTTTCATTCTGTTGGTAGACAGAAGCCCTATAAAATCATGACTTTGTTTTTGTTTTTTTTTCTTTTTTTTTCCTCATGTGCTTTTTCTGTTTGCACTCTGGATTTTGAAAGCTCTGCATTTGGGTTATATTTTCAAGCTTTTCTATCCCAAGCTATGCATCAATATTTTCTTTAATAACAATTGAGCTTACTAAGTAATCATTTTTCAGGTAATCTTGGGTTTAAAGAAAGCTGTTATATATCAAAATTACGTGAGTCATCAGTAGTGAAATATTGGAAATAAGGGGAACATCTGATATGAAGTGGATTTTAGATTTTGAAACCATGGCTGCCAGCAAGCAGGTATTTAGCCTACCAGAAGTCAGCTTTGTCTTTTGTAGAGAGCTCTTTTGCTTTTTGTCTTTGCTGCTGCTGTTTATCTCTCAAAAAAATTTTAAAAATATATTTGATAACTCCTGTACAGCTAACTGCATTCAGTCAGTGATTGTAAGCAAGGACATTTATACATTTTGAACTTGTATAGAAAACAGTGAATAGACTTACTATGTTTTGTTAATCTTGTGGGCTTTGCTGGGTATTCGAGTGTTTTGGATATGAACAGAATCATATAGCAACATTTTAAACGAAACAAATTTTTGGGGATTTGAGATAAACTGTAAGTAGGCTTGAAAATCTGGAAGCTAGGGGTGAGAGAGTTGACCCAGATGTTGCTTGCACTCGCTCTTTCTTGTGTGTGTGCCCTCTGTCTCTGTGCCATGTACAAAGGCTGGAGAACTTTACAGCATCTGGGCCAAGGGTACCGGTTCTCTTTTTCCTCATTCCACCTTTTACTACTCTTTCCTGTTCTGTCCTTTGCAAGGTCACCCCATTGACCCTTTGGGAAACGCACTGAAGGAGCTAACTTGGCAGAAACCTAGTAACTTCTAGGTATAGATCAATTTCTGTTAATAGGAAGATTTGCATTTGGTAACAGGGCTGGGTGCTCATCCTGAAGGAGAAAGATATTTGCAAATTCAAGTGTATTAAGCTTTGGAAGATTCTCTTTCATTCACACAGGTAGCTTTAGATAAACCACTGCTTATCAGTTCCACTACTGAAGCTTCAGTCATTCGATGAGTCAACTTGTAATTGAAGTGAATTTAAATGTTTGTGACTTGAATATACACACATACCTGCAGTCTCCTGCCTATTGTTGTCAGTGTCTCTGCCACATGTTGAAAATGTAACTGTACTTCAGGCAAAGCTAAAGCAGCTGACACATTTTTCCCCCCAAGGGAATAAGAAACAATAGAAATTAAAATTATTAACTAGTTATTAAAATGTCCTGTTAACTCCCAAATTGTAAGTATAGAGATGGACTTTTCAGGATTCTGTTAGAGTCAAGAGATGTGGGAGAAAAATGGCTCAAGAGGAGTGATTTCTGAAATCCATGCGCAGCCGCCTCCAAACTCCACTTTTACAGAGCTTTGTGGGATGGAGCCAGAATTCCTCTGCTGAGCAGAACTGGTCGCTTCCCTTTGCCATGGCTTCAGTGCCATTGGGCCATTTGCTCACTGTAGTGTTTTAGAAATAAAAATGAGATCTGCAAATTCCATTCAAATTTCTTAAAGATAAAGGCATTTATTAGTAACCAAAAGTTGTTAAAATATTGCCTATGTTTATTAAGTAATCATTTGGATTTTTTTCAATATGGTTACCAGTCTGTGTTATAAAATATTACCTTCTTGCAACTATTTTTAAATTTTAGGAATCCTGGATTTGTTCATTACCCATGCTTTTATAATAACTATTTTTATAATGCATTTTTGTTAAACCTCTTCGGATTGTGCAGGCATTATTGTTTTATTAGCGGTGTTTGTTGACTGTAATATCTGCAGAACTGTTATTTTCAGAAAACAATTTTCTAAGAATGTTAAACATGTTCATCTAGCATGCATTTTTACAGTATCTGTGTTGCATCTCCTACTGTTGCTTTGCTTTATTGTCTGAAGTACAGAACGATTACATGCTTCTGTTCATTAACTGACAACAGAAGATTGTACATAAAGGTCTTACCTCTCTCTGAAATTAGTAATTTATAAATGCATAGTTAAGCTGATTTTCAGATCATGAAATAGTATAATCTGATACTCTGGGCCCGGAACATTGCTTCTGTTTACATTCATACCTGTAATATTGAGACTCCTATACATTTTGAAAAATGCTCTTTAAAGTACTTTTTGTATTTGAATAACAAGCTGTTAAGTACTATGCCAAGAAATGCTCATTATTTGCACACAAGTACTTCTTGGTTTTTGTCATTGTTTAGTTGTCGCTTCCAAAAATATGAGCCCCTGTTGCAGATTGACAGTGTAGCTCTTCAGCTGAGGCTTTTTATTCCATGAAGTTCTCTAGTCCAAAACGGGGTCATTACAACAGTGAGCTTCAGGCCTGTGTTAGTGTTCCCTTTGTGTGCCTACTCCTCTTCCTTTTGCATCATGCTATTCAGAGAGATTTTTGGAAAGTTTTTTAAAATACAGGAGCATGTGACAACAAAGGCATTGCTCAATTGTGTCTGGGGAACTAGTAGGATTTCAAATTACTTTAAAATTCTGTTATCATTGTCCCGGTTTCACACTGATGGTGTCCTTTAAGTGACCTGAGACATCAGACAGGCAGGCTCTGGCCCACAACAGCAAACCTGTATGCTCGGGTGAGGTTGTATGGGCGTCCTCTCGCGTGGATCTTGCAGCAAGGTCGCAGCTGTGTTTTGAGAGCTGAGGTTTCTAGGATGTGCTTACAGGAGCTGTTTGGATTACGCTAAGGATGTGGAGGGATTTTCTGCTTTCCTACATCAGCCACATGTTTTCTCTGTCCCTATATAATGTTTCTTGAAAAACCAAAAACATCTTGCTGGATTTTTGCTTGAGTTTTGCAGAAGCTACAGCAATTGGTTCTGATAAGCTGTGCAGTGTTGAGAGAAGGAATAGCTTTGAGTGAAGGCAGCATGGCACATTCAGTGCTTTGTGCTTGGCTTGACTGGAGTGCTTTGAGAAAGGAAATAGGCTCCGAGTAACGCGGGCATCACCGCTTGCACCAGGACATAGACATCAGAACAGCACATTGGCATGTTTGTGACATCTTGAACAGCCTAGGTGTGTCTTTTAGCTCACTGAAATATGGAGTTGCTGCCTGTGGAGGGGCTCGTTTGGTGGTGGGCACATTGTCTTTCGAAGAGGCCAAGGTATCTGAAGCTTGCCTTGAGGGGAGGGTTGGCCCGTGTATTCAGATGAACCCCTTTCTCCATAGCGTGGCTTCATCTTTTAGCTTTGCCCTCCTGGGGTTGCATTGTGGCTGTGATGGGAGGAGACCAGATGAGTGGCTGGCACGGGCTGCTTTTCGAAGGGATGCCCTTTGCGTCCTGCCCTTCTGACAAGCGAGGAGGATTTGCTGCAGAACGCGAGCAATTGGGAGTGCAGGTGTGAGAGATAATGGGCGGGTGAGCGTGTGTGCAGAAGCAACGCAGATGGGGGGGAGCGGAAGGACAAGGAGCGAGAGAGGGAGGGAGCAAGCACATATAGGAGTGAACGAACACTTGAAAATCAGAGCTTTTGATTAAAAAAAAAAAAAATCCAATACAGCTTTAATTATAGTCATGCTGCTGGCACTACCATAATATATATTTAATTAATCAGAAATGATCCAACTTCAAACATTAGAATTCACGGTCTTCAGAGGTTCTAAAGAAACTGAGTAAATATTGTCAGCCGTGGTGTGGAGAGGGGGAAGGAAAGAGAAAGAGGGTTTGAAGTGAGTCACAATCCATTGTGAAAGGTACAGGAATCTGCATAAAAGAGCTAAATAAATAGAGTGTGTAAGGGGCGGGGGCATGTAAAAAACTGTACCTACCTGAATAAAACAGGGTTGTTAACATAGGAATCTTGGCAAGCTTAACCAGAATTCTAGTGTCATGTTTTAAGAGACACTTTAAGATCTCTCAGCTCTTTGTGGAGCAGTTTATAAGAAAACAAAGGAAGGCAGAGAGTATCTTGAAGGCCATCGCAATAATATAGAGGCTAGCCCTGAAAAGCACTCTTCCACAAAGATGAGCAAAATACAATACATACAGCCAAAGCAAGCCAAAAGAGGAGGAACACAGTGAGAGAAGTAAATTAAAAGTCTTAACGATGTAAAAATCCCAGGAGTTTAACAAAATAATCTGGCATAAATGGTTTATTAAGCATATATCGTGCCTTGCAACAATATTTTGTAAAGTGAACAGTTTATTACTGTCGTGTGTGCTGGCATGGAGACAACCCCTGCACCTAAAGTTACTCTGGAAACCTCCCAGAGAAGAGGCAGTGTGCTCTCAAAGTTAGCATTGAGCTGTTGTTTTGTGTCCTCTGTGTCTTGGATAAATAGAA